CCCTCCGAACCCCCCCACAGCCCCTGGGGCCATGAGGGGCTCGGGCAGGCTGTCCCATCCTGCCGGCGGTGACGGTGACTTTCTCCCTTCCAGGTGCAGGAGGGAGGAGAGGGGTCCCCGTGTCCCCAGCACGCTGCTCGAGGAGGGGAAGCCGAGGAAAAGCTCCCATCGATCCTTCCCAGCGGCGCGGTGAAGCCCAGGACAGAGCTGCGAGCGGCCAAACTGTGACAGGGCGACGCCGTCCCGGTGCCCGCCTGGCCCCAGCCCCGTCCCACCGCCAGCCCCCCCGCTGTCCCCGTTGTCCCCTGCCAATGCCGGGCCGGTGGGTGGAGGCTGCGTGCTCGATTGCTGTGCTGGCATCCCAAGCGTGGGGCCGAGCTGCGGGCCCTGCGTTTTCCCGCAGGACAGTGGCGATGGGGGCTGCTCTCTCCACCGGAGCGGTCGTGGCAATTTCTTTTAACTGTGTCATCGCGTTGCTCATCCTCATCCTCTTCCTCATCCTCTGCAAAGCCTGCAGGACCCCCTCGTGCCCCAAGAAGAGCCCGGCTTCTGACATGGATGAGGCAAGGAATGAAGAGAAGTACCTGCTGCAGCCCTGAGCTGCTTGGGGACTTGGGTACCCGGCTGTGCCGAAGGAGTCATGCCAGTGTGGATGCCTGCACTGGGACTGGGGCGGTGGATGGGGCAGGATGAGAGCAGAGGGGATGCTGAGCTGCTTGCAGGGGCTGTGACACAGGGCACAGCCCTTCGCCTGCCTGGCTTTGGTGTGTGAAGTCCCTGCGGATGCCCACAGTGACCGTGGGGATGGAGAGACAGCAGCTGGGGACGTGCTACGGGGACAATCCTGCATGTCCCAGTGGCCAGCGAGCGCAGCAGGAGCCTTGCCCTCGAGCGCACCCCGTGTTCAGGGACAGCCCGTGGGCTCCTCCCTGGCGCTCGTGGCCCGGGCCAGGGGCCACCGCTTTGCAGACCTGAGCGGGGCCAGTCAGGGGCTTGGAGAGGGGAGGCAGCGG